TTTTGTTTTGATATACAAGTTGTTCGGGTTTTTTCACCTAAAAAAAAACTACATTAATTTCTTGACGACCTAATATATCAAATAGCTCAAAATGGTAACAAAACTTAAATATTTTCTGTTGAAGTACTGTGGTGTTAAAACAGTTATCCAGAAGACTAATCATTTAATACTGAACATAGCAGTTTTAAAGAATAGTTAGAGTTAATAATTTATCATATATACATCCCTAAAATACATTGTTAATTAAATAACTTCTCTACAATTTATGACACTCATTCTGGCAAGTTAAAAAATAATTACGTTAACAAGAATGGAAGCATGTAGGAATAGTTTGTGTTACCTAATCTATGTTTCTTTCAGTTTAAAAAAAATCATGAAATTGGACTGTTAGTTGGTTTTCTTCTCTGCAACGTAACATTAAACTTGCTTGGTGTTAAGATTTCTGTATTAAAAAAAAGCTAAAGCGACTATGCTCTATCTTAGAAATGTAATCTTTCAAGACTTACAAAGGTTTCAAGTATGAAATCAGATAAATAAAATGACAATTCAACGACGGTAGTGTCTTTAAAAGTAGTGAAATAAACAACAACCATAATATTACATGGTTAACAATACATAAAAATACAACAATCATCCTTTTATACTAAAATATTCATCCAAAGATTACCATCCACTTTCACCATGATTCTTAAAATATAAGTTCTATCATATTTAGTGTAATTCTTAACTTTTTAGACGATACAAGTTAAATCAACGAAAGGTTTAATAGTGACGATTCCATCGTTGATGTATTTTCAAAGATTCGGTACAGCTTTCAGTTTAATATCAACTCACCGCTGTAGGCTTACCTTTAATAACTCTAACATCTCGGAGCTCACGTACGGAGAGGGAGACCACAAGAGTCGTAATCGTGGGAAGTGAATCGTCAACAGAATCAATTTTGAAACGACCTTCATGGTAGAAACTTCTGTGGATAAGTAGTACTTTCCCTGTTTGAAAGAAAAATAAAAACAGAGAGACTAATATTAAAAACTCCCACTTCTATGTTTCTTCCAAGTGTATAAAACACATATTAACTCTTTGTACGTCAAGCTAAGAAACAAGAACTGAGATTTTTTTACTTATAAAAAAAAATACTCTTGAGCCCATAACAAAACAAAGCACTTGCCTTACTTTTATAAATAAAAACATGAACACATTTATTATATTTAGACACTCGAAGAAAATTAGTTTATAAATATAAGAATAAAAACATTATGCTTGAAGCATTAGAAAAAAATCAAAACATAATTTTTGTGACACAATTATGCAATAACTTCACCGTATTCAAAAATGATGTAAAAAATCTGTAAAAAGGAAAAAATTTTATTCATAAAATATTTCAAATCTTCAGCTTTAAAAATTATGATAAATACACGTCCATTGTGAAATTTTTAAAGGTATAAAATACTGCCATGAAAAACAGCATCATATTCAAAAAGATTATGTAAAAAGTTTATAAAAGTGATTTGTAAAAATGAAGATATTGTATCTGTATGTGTGAACAAACTCACCTGATATCACCATATTTACCAGAACGATCTGTAAAAATGAAGATATCGTATCTGTACGTGTGAAAAAACTCACCTGATATCAACATATTTACCAGAATGATCTGTAAAAATAAAGGTATCGTATCTGTACATGTAAACAAACTCACCTGATATCACCATATTTACCAGAACGATCTGTAAAAATAAAGGTATCGTATCTGTACGTGTGAACAAGCTCACCTGATATCACCATATTTACTAGAACGATCTGTAAAAATAAAGGTATCGTATCTGTACGTGTGAACAAGCTCACCTGATAAACATATTTACCAGAATGATCTGTAAAAATAAAGATATCGTATCTGTACATGTAAACAAGCTCACCTGATATCAACATATTTACCAGAACGATCTGTAAAAATAAAGATATCGTATCTGTACATGTGAACAAGCTCACCTGATATCAACATATTTACCAGAACGATCTGTAAAAATAAAGATATCGTATCTGTACATGTGAACAAGCTCACCTGATATCAACATATTTACCAGAACGATCTGTAAAAATAAAGATATCGTATCTGT